CCAGATATTCTAGCAAATGTCTCCTGGACCTTGGGGTAACCCCCAATTTTTATCTCCCCTTCAATATAACCACCAGTTTTTCTTCCACAAAGAACATCCATCAGTGTAGTTTTCCCAGCTCCACTAACTCCCATCAAAGCGGTAAGAATTCCAGGCCTAAATGTGCCAGTAATATCTTGAAGAAGCTGTAGTCTTTTTTGTAGAAACCCTTGCTCTCTCACTTTCTGGAAATACCAAATACATGGAAGATATTAGAATTTTTTGTAGTTATACTTCAATATTGTTGCGAAGTGTTTAATGAATAAAATGCGTGTGTACCTTGGGAGTATCAACAAAGTATTGCACATTCTCAAAGGTTAGTGTTTTGGGCTCAAAAGGTAACACCATCCCTGTAGTTTAGAAATGTCAGTGTTGTTTTACAGTACCAAAATACACAGGCTTTCTTATGTTATAGTTAATTCTGTAGATATAACATTCAGCTTCAATTGTGCAAGACAATTACAGTAGATTCTCACCTGTGGTCTTTGTTTCTGTAACAGCTTTTAAAGGATGAGTCGATTGTGGTTCTTTCTCTTGATTTGCATTGGTTGAATCTTCTATTGCTTTTAGATAAGTGAACCTGTCATGGGAGATGGTAGCTCTAGATCTTCCTGGAGCTGCTTAAATTAATTTTTCATCGTGGACAGGTTAGCAAAGTTTGAATAATTAATCTTAGAACTTTATATTGTGCATCATTCTTTTTCTAAGTATGTGGATGTCAGTAAAACTTACACTTTAAATAACTCAGTGCAAACGTAAATGCAATGTTAAAAATTATCCAGAATCCTATTAAAGCTGCAACTGATATCCAATAATAGTTTTGATTGAAGTTTAACCCCTGTTTTCTCAGAACCAGATGCCCTAGTGTCTCATTTGATGAAACCTGCAAGTGACAATTGCCAGTAAACATTGACTGTAAAAAGTTGACCTGCCTTGATCTATTGGTTGACCAACAAATATTACTTGTTTATGTTTCACCTTTTGCCACCTTGGAGCCAGAAATTCATTTAGTGAGATTCCTATTTCAGCATATGCCATTGGTGAAATCCAAAAGCCCCATTTGATCCAAGTTGGTAGTGATTCTGCAGCAAGGAAGGGCTTTATTATACCATTCATGTTTAGAATCTCCCGAAGCATATGTCATAAAAATTGCCTTACCTAGTGGGATTGTAAAACCGCTGAATAAATATAAGACCAGTAAGCTGAAAAGGCCAAATGTTGCTGCAACAGCTGGATTTCGAGCAATGGAAGCAATCACGCGGAATAGTGATATTGCAACTTGATGAAGTAGGAAAAGGACAAGGACTTGTTTGAAAAACCTGAAAGGAATTTTATGATTTAGAAAGGATGAAATATATTGTCAATAAAAAAAAGATCTCATTAGGAAAGAGAAAAACCTCTGTGGTTCAGGACTGTAACCAATTCCATAATATGTCAGAACAGTCCAAAGAAAAGCATCTATCAATGAAAATGGAATCTTTAGAATAGCAGCTGGAATTGAATAAGCCCATGCTGGATAGAAGTATAAATCTCTTTGTTTGTAGAATACTGCGAGTCTGGAAACAGTGAATGACAACTCTGCGATCCCATTGCTCATTAGTCTTACAAGAGCATAAAACAAGGAACCCATTTAGTAGGTGGCATGGACCATATCAACTTTCATTCGGGTGCGTATAAACACTGTCGTGGTTATTAGTGCAATTACAACTAGCTGCATGAAGAAAACATCTCTGGTCCATTAGCATATTCATTTTCATTATCTGTAACACATTTGTGCAATGTGAATTACTTTTCATGATAGTTTATTACCTGTCCTGTTTTGAAGATATGAATGAATGAGTTCCGCTTCATAAGCAACCACTCTCTGGCCATGCATGCTTTGAATAATTCCCATTTTTTCAATGTATAGATGTTAAATGATAGAGCACTTTTTTGGCTCTCGTTTTTATTGAAAGGTCTGCAGAGTTCTTCATCTAGCTTCTGTCCTACATGGAAGTCTTTAAAGGCGGTTCTGAACTTGTCAATAGAAACGTAACTATAGGGACGGTCCTCATGATACCAGTACTGAGCTTGATCCTTCTTTGAAATTACCTGTTAGAAAAATTAAAAGCAGAACATTAGTTGAAGCAAGTATTATTATGTGTCACACATTGATCAGTAATAACAAGATTAAACTGGGAAACCTACTTCTTGCAGGTAGTCGGCAACACCCTTACGTGGAGGGCATTTGAAACCACAATGTTCAAAGAACTCTTGAACATTACTGCGTGGTCCATGGTACACAATCTTTCCTTCTGCCATTAAGATAATATCATCAAAAAGATCAAATGTCTCTGGTGCTGGTTGAAGAAGTGACATTATGACTGTGGCATCTGTTATGTGTGCCATTTGTTGTAGATAGGTAACAATCTGAAAAGTCGTGGAGGTGTCTAAGCCATTTGATATTTCGTCCATAAACAGAGTTTTTGTTGGACCAATTATCATTTCCCCTGTCAGAGATGAACATTATGTAGTCAATACAATGGAAGAAGTAAGTTTCTGATGCTTGGGTTAGTTTACTGGTTATTCAACAACCAGATGCATAACTAGTAATGAAGTTGAAGTACACAACCTGTAGTAAGCCTTTTCTTTTGACCGCCTGAGATCCCCCTGTTTATGGCATCTCCCACATTTGTATCAGCACAAGTGTCTAGTCCGAGGATCTGGATGGTCAGAAATGGCAGCATAACTATATTCAATAAGTGGAAGATATAAGCTTAATAATGTAATTGTTTTTTTATTTTTATGAAAACCACCTTTAATATATAGTCTGTCTGGAGAGTTCCTTTTGATCCCTTTACTGATGTTGCCTGTTAGCAGATATTATTGTCAGAGATGGTTACAAAAGGAATTGAACCAAGTTTCCAGCCTTTAGTTAGAGGCAACAGAACTGTTTCTTGCAATCTGATTACCTTCATGTAAGTGTCTATATCTGGATCAGGGATGACTCCCAATTGCTTCTCCCTTCTACTGATTTCTTTCATTGTATCTTAATGGCAGGAAACTTCTGAGGTCAGTTTAACAACATAATGAATATCATAATAGGATGCTGAAAAAGAAATCTACCTGTTCTGCTTCCAATACCCTGACAATGTGCGGAAAAGTCAAGTGTCTCCCTTACAGTCATTTCAGCAATGTGCAGGTCGTATTGACTTACATATGCTGATGTTTTCTGGGGAACAAACTCAAAAAGCTTGTAACCATTATACGTAATTCCCCCTGTCACCTGAAATTTTGTTTAAATCAACACCCTACATTAGTATTTAAATTTCTAGTTATCGAATCAATGGTACAATTGTGAATTTTTGTTAACAGTATTCCTTTTGGGTGCTGAATTTTTCTATGATTGCAGCTTAAAACAGCGATAGAACACCTCAAGAGAGTGATTAAGGTTCCCTGCAAGTGCCTGCAACAACGTTGTTTTCCCACAGCCTGGAGGACCAAGCAGTAGAGTCATCCTGCAAGAAAAAGTAGGTCTAAGACTAAACATGGCTTGCCATAAGCTATTGGTTTGTATTTCAATGGAAATCAGCTTAGTCTCATGAGTTATAGAGTGCATAGATGCCGTAGATACAGCGATATCTAGCTTTGATGTGAACCTTGAAGGCTTGATGATGCCACTGACTTCTTTGAGAATTTTAATGTTGATTCGTTGCATGTTGCATCTTCCAACATTTGTCAGAGCCTGTTCAACATAAAATCGCCTTAAATCTTACAATGTATTCTCGTTTTTTGTTTAAACATCTAGCAAACACTAGAAGAAACTATTATATTTTTGATAGGGAAGAAACTATTATATTTTTGATCGGAAATAAACTATTCTATTAATTGAACTAATATAATTCTCACTTGTCTAATATTTTCCTCAATAAACGTATAAAACCTTTTATGATCTACGAAGCTTCCAATCAACGTTACCGAGTTTGAGGCAGACA